ATCACTGAAGCAATGAGCACGAAACTGAGCAAACTCAGGGAGGCAGTGAAGGACAGGAAGGCCTGGCGCAATATGGTTCATGGGGTCACGAAGAGTCGGACACGACTTAACGACTAAACAACAACAACAACATGATTTGGTTAGTAGGGGTTCGCCTTGATTCAGAAACAAAAACTAGGGTTTTAAGGTAGTTTGAAACTATATGCCTATACGTTTTATGCAATCTACAGAACTTCTAATGCAGTGATATGGAATGTAGGAACTCTGGTTCGCAATAATCCCATTATACCTTGATCTAGTATGAAGAATTCACAATGCAGAAGAGAAGGGAAATGTTATACATCAGCTCACATTATATTATAGACTATATTTCTCACCTTAAAAAACTATTCTACTTATCATAATACCCTACAATACTACTACTAATAGTAATCTATACATTTGATTACTATTAGTAGCCATCAAAATCATTTGGAAATGCTGCAAGTTTCTCAGAGAACTGCAAAGTAGGTTTTTGCCTTCTTTCCAATACAAAATTGTCCTTCAAAGTTTTATAAGCATTTAAAAAGGAGTGAATAATCACTATCACAGCTCATCCTAATGTTGAATGAATGCTAATCCTCACTAAATCTGGAAGTTAAAAAGTCTATTTACTAGTGTAACATTTATTTAATAAATTTATATTGCTAATAAATTTCTGCTGCAATAAACAAATTATCCAGCAGAAGAGTTTATTAAATGTGTTACGAAAAATAGTTTGGTCTTAAAACGTTCAACATTCGAGATTCCCATACTAAAAAATAAATCAAACCCTTCTATGGAAGAGCTTATGGGAATTTATGCTGGTCCCCCGAAATTGTGTTACAGCTTGGAGGGTGGTGCTAAAAATTTTGTGAGCCCTTTTTAATTTTCAGTATTTCTTCATAAATATGACCTACAATGTGGTCTGTTCTCCACCCAAGCCCTAAAACTAGATAAAGAGAACCTTCCTTGCCACTGCTGCCACCTGGAAATCTGGACATTGCTGAGGGCCCACAAATGCTTCTAGGCTTCAAACTAATTCTTTCAGAAGAACTGCAATTCCATTCAGGATAATCTGATTCCTACAGGTGAAACTCGAAAAATTAGAATATCGTGCAAATGTTCATTTATGTCAGTA